ACAGCTTTTAGATGCGCAGGTCCTCTGTCTTGGAATAGTCTGCAAATTAAATGGAAACTGAACAATCTGGTGCCACTAAATGTTTTTAAAGCTCGGTTGGATGCTACTCAATCGGAAGCTATTGGTACCTGTTTATGTGGATAATTATGTAAATGATGCTGTATGATGTCCTTTTGTTGTTCTATTTATGTTTTTATGTTTCATGTGGAACTACTTGAGCAGGTCTCCCTTGAAAAAGAGATCAATTATCTCAATGGGATTTATCTGTATAAATAAAGGTTTGAAATTAAATTAAATGAAAAAGCTACAGGCACAGCATCAGTCAGATCCAAACACTTCAGAGACATGTTTTGTGTTTATCCGAGACCTATAATATATTGTTGGAAAGGAGTATAATAGGGGACCTTTAAAAGAAGACAAACAAAGGAAAGAAGTTGTGCGATGTGCCCTCCAGCTTTTCAAGTTCAGGCATTGAAAGAAAGCCAACAAAGCCAGGACACTCAATAGTGTTGGAGTTGATCTAAGCAGCATCATTTAGATAAAGCCATGAAGGTTCTAAACTCTAGAACATCATTCGTACAATAAAAGTATAAAAGGGAGACAACTCTTCAATGAATTGACTGAAGATGTGAGCAGGTGGCAGAGGATCTCTGGTTACACAGACGACAGGTGGCAGAGGAAGAAAGATAGAAAGCAAAAGAAGAAGAAAGGAATAAATAAGGTGTTGAATGACGCTCACTTTGTAGACGCTGAGACTTCCAACAGGACCCAGTGTGTGATGCCGTCTCCTCCTCCTGCAGTCTGTCTGAGTCTCACCTGCTGCAGCACAGCAGGAAACACCTCCTGACTTCATCACTTCTCACACAGGCCTATTTTCATCAGCAATTTCCGCACCTTTCATTGAAACGTGTTTGGAATCATAATTGAATATGCTATAGACTGCTTATTTCTCTGCTTTAAGCAGTACAAATAATAGAAAACAGACCGTAAAGCAGTAGGAGCACATTTCAGATAGATAGATCTCTCTGGGGTCCAATCGTCCAAAGATCAGCTCATATCGTCTTTTCCTAACCACTACTCCTTGACCTCTGTGTGAAACGTTACGGGCTAAGGAATAGTGGTTAGGAGGACTCAAAAGGACTGAGTGAAAGACGAGCTTCAAGAGAATCCGACTACACTTACACTATCAGACGTATTTATGACGTGCCGGCGGATGTTAGAGCGTCTGCTGAGGGGAAACTACAGCTTTCTGTACAGAGGACCTATAAGAGCATCTAGATAGATACTTTGCACCGTGCGCTCTTACGATGTTGTTCTCTGCAGGCTTGTTAGCCTTCACATCTATCATTGTCTATATCACTATTCAAACGTTTAAGAAACCGCTCAGTAAACACTGCCAAATGTTGACTTTATGTGTAAAAAGCAAAGAAAGTAACGTTCATATTTCTCCAATTTGATTATAATAGTGTTGAACGTTGAACATGATACGCATTTCTCGGTCATGATCGGATGTTTCCGTGAACGGCTGAATGTTGTGTCACGGTTAATGTTGCAGCAAGGTATTGTGGGACAGCATTTTCTCCTTGCATCAATGTTGTATGTAATGTCACCTCTGCTAAGCTAAGGCACACTTGTGTTGGCATGACGACGTTCAGTAGTCTCATTTAGACACTCGTTAGCAACCGCCGTGTTAAAGAAACATAGAAGCTCCAGACATTCACAGTGGGGTGATTACTGACACATTTGATGTCGTAGAACAAAGCCTCTTAGTCTTCAGCTTGTTTTAACCAGACCTTATTTCAGGCATCTAACCAAAGACACATTCACACAACCATTGAATTCAAAATGAGGCGACCTGCGGACTGGTGAGTGTTGAATGTACACCGTACCAGAAAGGAGGGGGTCTTGGTGAGTAGAAGGGCTCTTAATAAAAAGAGCCCCAGAGAGCTTCTTCTGACATTTATTCCCCGGCCACACGAGGACGAAAACGGCTAAACGCATAGGATTAAAGCAAACGCAAAAAAGCTTCCGTCCACACGCAATAGTCATCCGGATAGTGTCTGTCCACACGAGACAGCTCCGTTTAGCTCCAACCGCTGGAGAAGCTGCAGTACATATGCAGAAGCCTGTACGTGGCGCTGTAACTTCCTCCACAAGAGCAGCGAAGAAGCATGGTTGTCATGGTTGCCCTTCTGTTTATTCTCTGCGGTGGGGGCCGAGGGAACCGGGCAGAGTTTTTCGCCAGTGTATTAAAGTTTAAATCTTCCGACAAATTTATAAAAGTGCCGGTCAAAGGTCTTCTTTGTTATTTATTGAGCTTTAAAACAAATGAATAACGACTCTATATAATATAATATAATAATAAAATACACGGAGCCTCTCTTTTTCCTCCCTCTCTTCGGACAGCGCCAGTGTCTGTTTCATGCAGCAGCTGATCCAGTAAAAATAAACATATTTATAACTAGTTTAGGTAGTTTGAGAGGTGTCTCCGTCCTGTCAGATTAGACTTCACTCGCGTTTATGTCCATATCGAGAGAAAGATAAATAATCTGAATTCAGTGTGCAGTTTATTTTGACGCGGGGGTGAGCAGCAGAGGTGGGGAGAGGCGGGGCTATTGCCTCATCATTATCAGAAAATGATCGTATAGGGCGTACACACGGAGCCGTTGGACCCCCCAGAGCGTTGCGTATGCCGTTCTATCCACCTTGGGACCCGTTATCATTTCCGCAGTCGTTTAGTGCCATATTCGGTCGTCCTCGTGTGGCAGAACGGTCTATATGACACTAAACAGTAACGCAAACGACCGTTTTCGTCCTCGTGTGGCCGGGGCTTTAGTGGAAGACGGCAAACAAAACAATGGCTGCAAATATCAGCGAACAAATACAGGCCTCTTCTCCTGAGACATGTTTCCTCTCACCACTAACTTTACTTAGTCTTAGTCCTAAATGAACCCTATAAAGCCACACACACACCATGTATACATCACTTCAGGGGACATTACATTGAATTACATGCATTTCCTGGAGACTTATCCTAACCTTAACCAACACATGCCTAACCCTAACCCTAACCCAAACCTTCACCCTAAAATTAATGATTCCCCTTATGGGGACCTCCAATTTGTCCCCATAAGGGAGGAGAGTCCCCACACGTGACTGTGAGATGTAGGTCCCCACAAGTATAGTAATGCTAGGCCACACACACACACACACACACACACACACACACACACACACACACACACACACACACACACACACACTATATTTTAAAGTTAAAACACAATTTTCCTTTAAATAAAAAATATAAAGAGCTTGTCACTTTCACCAGTTGGAAATTAGGCCTGCAACTAATGCAGATTATGGCTTCACAACAATTAAAATGTTATCAACATCTTAACATGGACTAGTGCAATATCAAAATCACAGTAAGAACAATATTTATAGCAAAATATGTGAAAATATAATTCCATGTAATATAGTTGCAATGTCAGTCAATATATATATATATATATATATATATATATATATATTATATATATATATTATATATTTGTCAAACTTTTATATAGTTATTTTTTCCATATCTTCCAGACATACTGCGGCTAATATTTACAGATTCATTCATTAATAGATTGGTCTATTCAAATGTTTGTAAATTGCAAAAAAAGAAAATCCAAAGATAATGAGTTAAATATGAGGCTCAGCATGTTCTGCTTCTTTTGTATGAAACATCACTTTGAACATCAGTTGATGACTTTACAGGTGATCACTTAGTGTATTAGCTGAGTTATCAGTGCAGATAAAGACCAACATGAAATGTGTACTTTCATGGCAGCTCTTAGCATAGACCCTGCAGACTGAAGGGCACACTTCACTGGACACACCAGAGCATCTGACCCTCACAGCAGGACCAGCTGTCACTCAACCTGCAGCTGACATTATCCACTTCATAGTTTCTATTGGATAGTATTCTAAGATCACCTGCACTAAGCTCCTGTGCAGCTCACCAAACAGATCCTGTGCGTCTCTCCTACAGTTTCATTTCAATCTTGAGCTGAGGAGCTGCAGGAGGCCTTGGACATGGCTCGGATCGGATCAGACTACCCATGATCCCGCTGTCTCTGCACCTGTCTCTCAATATGGCGGTCTGTGAAGTTTAGCAGACTGCCGACATGGTTTGTGGAGACAATCAGTTTACATGCATTCAATTGACATCATGGGTAATATTTACATCACTAAGAAGAAGTGACAACACTGAGAGATCAACTGTTTTGTGTGAAACAGCTGGAGAAACATCACTGCAGAGACACAATGTAACAATAAGCACCCACAATCCTCCATTGTCCCCACAGATATGATCTTTCCTTCATCAGGTATTTGCATGATATTTGCAAAGCAGGATATGACAGAGACTGTGACCATCATTTATTCAAATCCCAAAGTGTATCCGGTTCAGGAGTTGATAGATGCAATGTTGCAAATGTAACCATGTTCTCATCCATGATGATAACCAACATCCTACAGGCGTGTTAGTGTTACAGGTGACTGGGTTTAGAGACAGAGCTGTGGACTGAGAGGAACCTGAACATATCACAGGTAAATAACCCTCACAGCATAATACCTGATCAACAATACAGTGTACATCTCTCTCATAATTCACTCCAGGGGGGAAAGCCTTGAGAAAAACATTTTGTTTGTTTTTTTAAATGTGAAAGGTGGATACTTGTTTCTTTCAAAAAACCTAAAAAAACATTGAATGACGATATGATACAATTCATTCATAGATTAAATGGCATTCATGTATAATGCATCCAATCAGGCTAAAGTGTGCGGTCACTTAGGCGAATATGCAGATGGGAATTGTGTTCTTAAGTATTTTTCAACGAATGCATGACAGTGTCAATGTTGTAGTCCATTTTTGCACATTTCTGAACACATATCCTCTTTCATGTCTACATGTGTGTGTTGTGTGTGTGATGGTTTGGATGGGGGCTCACCGTTGTTGCAGTACTGTAGCAGCAGGTTGGTGCTGTCATACAGGCTCCCACACGAAGAGATCCTCTCCGACATCATTCCCTCTCCTCTGACTCCTGCTTCCTTCCCGGCTCTCCCGCCCTTCTCTCGGCTCCTTTTTTCTCCTTTCACCCCTCTCCGTCTCTTCTTCACGCCGGCAGCCCTTCCTGTCTCCCCCACATTCATAAACAGACAGACACATACACCTGTACCTGCTCCTTCTCCCCTCCACTCTCCCGCTCCTGCCTCTCTGCCAGCGTCAAGCTCCACACTATGTCATGTTCAGCACTTCCGCTTAGCACTTTCAAAATAAGAGTCACAGCGAAGCACAACACACCATTTACAGGACTGTTGTTGTGCTCCTCCACCCTTATTTTTAAATCAAATGTGTTGACAACATTTAATATTCATATCCGTAAAGTATCTCTTTTTGAAAAATATTTTAATATTGAATCCCCCTTTGTCTGCGTAGGTTAACATAACATACAAAAAGATGAAAAAAAGTGTGTTTCTCAAATGTTGATGCTGAACATGTTGTTTATTATTTAAGGGCCGTTGTGTCCTTGGGCAAGACACTTTACCCGCATTTGCTCCTGTGGGTAATGTCCGCAGTAATGACTCTTACATGTCTAATATGTGTAATGTGTACTTGTAAAGCGCTTTGAGCACCTGTAAAAGCGCTCTAATAAAAAATGTAATGCATTATTATTATTTATTATTATTATTCCTCACAGCTGAGCTCAATTATTTCCATCGGTTGGATTTTCTGGATTTTTCAATTATTTACAACTCAAAGAAAATAACAGTCAAACACTCCACTTTAGCCTATCACATTAATCTCCTAATAATGTGAATTTGACACTATGTCAAAGCCTTTCTGTGTTTTCAACATAATTCTAGTTAAAAGCAATTTCTATTCCATAATTATACAAATATCATGATCACTTTTGGGTCTTTATTGATTCTGCATTTTGAGCTTTATTAGCTGTGCTGATCCTATGAGTAAGTAAGATATTTTATTTCAGTAAAGTATGTGCCATTTTATTTATTCATTCATGGATGTGTAGCATCATAGACTGATGTGTAGCCATACTATCTTTTGTATATCCTATGCTTTTATTTTGAAGAGTGAACCATTACTTTCCCACTAATAATCAATTTGACTCTCGCTGGCTTGACGAAACTTCCTTGCCTTATCTGCCCTGCGTACCGCTGTTACTATAGCAACAGGCTCTCCACCAGCTTCAGCTCTTGATTGTTGGAGGCGGGAGCGAGGCAGATGCACGTGTCTGTAGCTGATATTTTATTAATCAAACCGGAACTGCTGGTGTCGGTTGCCTTTACGTGCAATTGAAGCTAACGTTTCTGAAAAGAGTAATACCGGTGTGGAGTTGTGTTCCTGAATAATTCATTGGGAAACGGTGTGGAACCATAGACTGTCTGTATAAACACACGTGCTCGTAATCTATTCCAAAGGCCATTAAACAGAGCAGGATGTTAAACCCCCTGCGCGCATGGATTGGCTTCTCGCTGAAATGCTATTAATTTCCCCCAGGCTCCAATACACATTCACGTTCTGTCACAATTTCAAATATGTTTTTGATTTCAGTTGACTAAATGTCTTTAAAAAAAACTGAAAGGTCACTGATGTCTATAATATTATGAACCCATGAATCTTTTTTTAAATCAGAAATCCTTTATCTGACATACAGCTTGGACATGTACAATGTTTACAGCAAATGGAACAATTATAATTAAGGCAAAAAGAATTATTGCTGACTGCTTCTGCCAGATAGAGTTATTTTTTAAATAAATCAAAGGAAGTAGGCTACGTACTATCTTGTCGTGTCTAACTTGACGTTTTACCTTTATATAGGTCCTCACTGCGACCACTAGAGGGCAGCATGCATTCTCAATTCTACACGGTAACTAACCTCTGAATGAGAGAGAAACAAACACTGCAGTTCTACCTGAGTCAAGGTAGAAACTAAGATGTAAAAGTAACAATGTTGTTCATACTAACCTCACATAATTGTTACTCTCTGTACTGTTGCGTAACTGCTGAATCTGCATCATTGAAATCAGTAAATAAAAACCTTGCTGTCTTATGGGCTAGCAGTGCATTCTGGTGTTCATCCGCTAGATGACAGTCGTGTTTCTAGATACAATCGTGTCATCGGTAAGTTCTGTCCACTAACACTTCCCGTGAGAACTTTAAAAAATAAAATACATAATCATTGATGCTGAGAAATACTGGATGGACATCTGAGTGGAAATTATGTATTATTATGAAACGGAAAGAGGGGAAAAATGATCCAAAGAGACAATAATGTATGTATATAAATGATCATAGAGTGTTAAATGGAATGCAAGGTTTGTTCTGTAAATAGTGGAAATGTAAAGCGGAGAAATAAGACATTAGAGCAGCGTTAGGAGTAGGAAAACAACTGGTGAATATGTTTGAAGTGTGCAGAACAAATGTATAAACAGAAGGACGAATAGGAAGTATCCATAATGCGCATGCGCAAGGTACGTAGGTTTGTTGTTGTCACGTGACAGCCGACTCAAACTACCCACTTAAGCAGTTACTTGAAGCTACTTGAAGCTGCTAGAAAATGATGAAATATAGAGAAACACTCTCTGCTGACGTGTGACTCAGATGTATAAAGGTACACGGAAAGCTACCTGATAGTGCTGAATCATTTAAAGCGATGTTCTTGTGGAGCTGAACAGACTTGTAGACCTCTTTGCTTAAAACTACAAACTTATTTTAGCGTTAGCATTAACATTAGCATCATAGGAGGAGGAGGTGTGCCAGCTCCCCGACCACTGACAGTAAGTCCATTTTCAGTCACTAGTAGGTTTTATTAAAGTATTTATTAAGTGTTATCAAATGTCGATGTTAGCCAACTTTCAGCATTTAGCTCAGAAGTTGTTAAATGACCCTCAATAACTAAATGAATGTATACAGCCTCCAGTTAGTAAATGCTAGCTTGGTGATTTTACTGCAAAAAAAACAACTAAATGTCCCTTTTACATTTTCCTATAATAACCTATGAGGCAGTTCCAAAACGTAGTGTGTCAGTGAGTGTGACTGCTGCATTTAGGTTTAATAGATATTTAGGGCATACACCAATTTTAAACATGTGTATGTTCAATCTAAAAGTCACACTCTGGGCCTACCGAGGTGGTCAGTATCTCTTTATAAAAGTGTTGCTCGATTAAATACAACTGTAGATTTAAGTCTTGAAGCCTCTGATTCAGATTTACTGATTTATCCGACTCATGGTTACAAAACACCAGAGGTGGGAGAAGTACTCAGATCTTGTTCAAAATGTTACTCAAGTAAAAGTAGAAAAGTATTGGCTTCTTGATAAACTAAAAAGTAACAAAAGCAAAATTATTCATTCTGAATAATATATATTATATATACAGGTTAAAATGACATTAGTCCTGTCAAGCAGAAATGAGTAACACTCTGACGTTGTCTCTTCCCAGCTGCGTTCAGCATGCGGCCCCGACAGAGGGGGTCCCACCTGGGCCTGATGCTGCTGGCCTCCCAGCTGTTCCAGGTGGGACTGGACAACATCCCCCCCGTCACGCTGGCTGTGCTGGGACTCAACGTGTATCTGTTCCTGTTCCCTGCTGCGCCTGTCATGCAGGTAATGCACTGATGATAGAGTTTTAATGGGACAGAAATAACACCATCACATGTTGTAGAAAACAGCGTACAATTTATTTTATTAATATGAGTTTGTCTTCATCTTTACACTCACCTTTGCTATAACAATGTCATTTTCCCCGCTGTGGTATGAATGAAGGATTTCTGATTGAATTTGCTGCTTTTCTTTCTCCCAGTAAGTAGAAGCTGATACTATAATGTCTTATGTCTTATACTCTATCAAGGTTATTCAATATGAGCCCCTTTAGACCCCTTTTTAAACACACGCCTTTCAACTTATTTGTTTCTACTCCTGTTTGTGATGACTGTGAAGCTGGCTTTATATTATGCATTTTGTGTGATCAATAAAAAAAATTGAATTATATCCAATCTAATTCAACAAAAAATAGAACTTTACAAGATTTTAAAAAGGGGAAAACTCAATTTAAAATAATAAGCAAACTTATATTGTACTTGGTTGTTAGATAATAAACTTTAAGGAATACAAACGGTTAAGAACTGTGTCTTGCTTCCACACATGTTGTCCTTATCTGTGCATCTTAATAGGCTAGCACCGTGGGAATTGTAGTCTCTTATCTTCCACTCGAGACTACTGAATTCCCCACTGGGGCTCTTCTTCTCATCTCAGGCCCTGGCCACACGAGGACGATAATGGTCGTATCTGCTACAGTTCACTATCAGAAAGACGGTTTGGCCACACAAGGCCGACATGGAAACGCAGAAAACGATAACGATAAGGGGTCCCAAGGTGGGTAGATCTGCAAACGAAACGCTCTGGGGGGGCAAACGGCTCCGTGTTTACGCCTATACGATCATTTCCTGATAACGTTGAAGCAATAGCCCCGCCTCTCCCCACCTCTCCTGCTCAGAGATCAGCTGCTGGGCTGTCAGAAGAGGGGGAGGAAAAGAGAGGCTCCGTTTTTGTATTATTGTATAGAGTCGTTATTCATTTGTTTTAAAGCTCAATAAATAACAAAAAAGACCTCTGACCGGCACTTTTCTAATTTTGTCCGGAAGATTTCAACTTTAACGGACATGTTGACCGGCGAAAACAAATCTAACTGAAACTCTGCTGCACGGTCCCCTCGTCCCTTGGAAGAGGCCGAGAGGTGGGTGTTTGTCATCTGCTGGTGGCAAACCGGAGAGACATACAGAAGGAGCACACGCTTGCTTCGGGGAGGGAGAAAAAGAGCCAGAGCGGAGAATAAACAGAAGGGCAACCGGAGCCGGCCCGACCCATTAAGCGACATAAGCGGCTGCTTAGGGCCCCGCAGCCACTAAGGAGCCCCCTAGCAAAAAACCTAAAAAATAAAAAAAATTATTTTTAGAAAAAAAAAAAAAATCTCAGTACACCGTCGCCGTGATAAGTATGTTTAATTAATTGTGTTAATATGCCTAGATTGCCTACTTTCAAAGTCATGTATTATATTATTGAGACAATAATATAATACATTAATCGTGCTTTACCTGAACCTCATCATGACACTAGAGAGGACGGCAGGATTGTAATTTCCCGTGTTCAGTGAATGCAACAGAGGCAAGACACCAGAACAACCAGAGAGTTGAATGGAAATAAACGTC